TCCGGGTCCTCCGGGAGGGGGCCAAGGAGCAATTAAAACGGATCAGCCGAAAACGCCCATTCATCCTCCATTTTTTGTTTATATTTTATGCGCGTGTGAAAAAGGGCATCTGTTGAAGAGCGGTCGTGCCCGAGTGGTTAAGGGGTCTGACTCGAAATCAGATGGGATCTCCCGCATAGGTTCGAATCCTGTCGACCGCGTAGACAAGGTAAATTTAAAGTTTTTGGCCGGTGATGGGTGCGGAACCTGAACGATCCACTGAGAAGTTGACTAGGGTGACTGGATGAGGGTGCCCCGAAATACCGGGGAAGGCAGGGTTTCGCAGGGTAGCTGCCACGGGTGAAGATATGACCCCCCTGTCCCACACATCGTGGGGATGTATACACATCGTGCATATGCACACCTACACACAGACATACAAACACACACGTTTCCCCCCCCCGCTCCCTCCATTCCCGCCTGCCTACCTGGGTAGGGCCGCCCCTTCCACTCCCAGCTGTTCCATAAGGCCCGGGTACAGCAGCGGCAGTAGCACCATTTCCTTGAGGGACTGAATGATAGGCTGCAGCCGTAGATTGAAACACAACACACACACGTACATATACACGCACACGTACATCAGTAACTCCAAGATTATGTAGGTGTTTGTTAATGCTGGAAGGGAAGCAGATCCTTGCGATGGACGGAGGGATCATTAGGTAATACACGGACTGGGTAACACGCGTACGAGGGGGACAGAGGACAAGAGGATATCCTTCCTAGGGCCCGGGCTTCTAAGCATAATTTGGGAACCCTTCTTGATATCAATATGGGATTAGAAAGCCCCTCCAGGGCCCCCCCCCCACACACACACCGCAAACAAAACACGCGGCCGCAGAAATTACACGTTCCTGCCGCAGGAGCCCCCCGGAGTGAAGGAGCGGCGGTTTGGGCACCAATTTTGCTGTGTTTCCAAATGAAACCTAAAACCTTAACCTTCCGTTTACATGCAACAATATACTTACATACACACATACAGGCGCATACAGAACCCCGGACACCCCGACCCACCTGCAAGCCCCCCACGCATTCAAAACCCTTGCCGTACAGCCCTCGGCCTCCGTCACCTCCGCCATTGCGACCTCCCCCCAGCATAACCGGCGCCAACCGCCCCGTGTCCTTGGCATGTCGCCGCCGCTCCTTGGCGGCGAACACCGCCTCGTCGTCATCCGCTTCGGCGGCGGCGGCGGCGGTGGCGGCGACGCGGGCGGTGGCTAGGGCGGCGGCCGCCACGGCCAGATGACGTGCGACGGCGGCGGAGTCAATCCTGCCAACGGTCAACGGTGGGCCCCCATGGGACGGCGGGCTCCACATATCATCTCCATCTCACGGATGAACAAACATGATATCACGGATGATGTGAACATACAAACAGACGCAACGGGGGGTCATCAACAAGACACCGATCGGCAGCAACCGTAGGTGAACTGGTGAACAGGCAAAAGAACGAGCGTGATATCCCCTCAGAAAACCCCCCAGGAATCGTGGGGAGAAAAGAGAGGGTTACGACGAGGCATAGACGATATCGACGAGCAGGAATGAGATAGGTAGACGGATACCTCAAGGTAAAACCAATACTGGGGAGGAGAGGGAGGAGAGGGGGAAAGGGAGGAGAGAGAGAGAGAGAAACGGAATAACGCATAAACCTCTCTCCTCCCGCCGGCCACCCCCAAAACGTTGCTCCCCTCCTCCTCCTCCTCCACCACCATCCATGTCATCATCCTCCTTGTTGGCATCTCCTGCGTACCTGAGACCGCTATCTCCCCCCAGTACACCAAAATCGGGTTTCGGATCTCTCTCGTAAACTCCCCAAATACCTTTTCAAACTCAGATGGGATCATCCGTTAGCTCTCCCCATCCACCTCCACCTCCACCTTCCGTCTGAGAAGAGTTTTTACGAGCCCTTCCCCTTCGCACTGTCTAGCCCGCGCACCTCCCTCCCTCCCGCCCCACCCCTCCCATCTCCTTCCCCTTCACAGCCCTTACTTGCGCCGCTTGCTCGGAGGCTCCTCCCGGGATCGGACAGCACCACCACCAGCACCAGCACCAACACCAGCACCATCAGCGCCGCCCTCCTCCCGCTCAAGCTCCGAACCTCCGCCGCCTGACCGGTAGCCGTACGGCTGATGAGCTAGCCGACATGGCGGGCGATGACGAAGAGGGGGCTTGCTGTCCGGGCGCCGCAGCCCCGGGGGGAACCCGTCCGTCCGCGCCCCTTCCCCAGCCACCACCGGGGGAACCCCACCACCCCCAGAGCTCCCCACACCCCCACCACCCCCACCACCTCCATCGCCACCGGTGCCCTGAGGCGGGAGAGATGGAGGTTGGGACACGGCGGGGTAGGGCCGCCCCCGGCCGTCGCGAGCGCCATTAACCTCGGTGCACAAGGCGGGCTCCCGGGATCTGCCACTGACAGCGGCCGCCGCCGCCGCCGCCGCCGCCGCGGGCCCTCCTCGGCCGTGGAGCCCTCCTGCCGCTGGGCGCCCTCCTGCCTGACCGCCCCTGCCCTGCGCCGCAAGCTCGTGTTTGAATTCCTTGACGTGGCGCGGACATGCTATGAGGTAGAGGTCCGGGAAGAAAGCGCATCCGCTGGCCCGGGCGCAAGGCAGGTGGTAGGAGACGTTGCATCGCTCCAGACGGCATCCCAGGGTGGCGCCTCGCTCGCCGCAGTAGCCGCATCTGGGTGAACAAGCGCGACAAAGTGAACGTGTGCGTGTTCGTGTGTGTGTAATACGTGCGATTAAGAAACATGACAGGAGAAACGAGGGGACAGCATTGCTGCAACAACCTCCTCTGCATTGACGGATCCCACCCTACAAAGGCCACGGGCACTCTGGGCCCCTGAAACCCCTTCAATCGTGCTAGGAGTTTCATAAAACAACAGGTACCGGGTGCTCCCGTCATGCCTTGGCCCCAAGAATTATATAGCACAGCTGCGAGAGCTGTGTAATTTAAGGGGGCCATTTACGCGTGCGAGAAGGACGGGGGATGGAGAGACGCGTGCGCGCACCTTATTTGCCTTCCTCTGCGGATAGCCTGGCCCACTTTACGCAGCTTCGAGCCGTCCAAGCTGTGGTAAACCTGAAACCCGTACCGGGGAAAGATGCAGCCAAGCGAAGGACGAATGCGAACTGACTGCCCACGGTTGGTAGCAGTCGGTTTAGTCGTTTCCCGTCAGGATAGACATGGAAACTCATTTCCAGGGTGAAGTGATGCAGTTGGCACTTGCAGAATATGTCGATAGTGGATGTGTCGTAAATTTGGCGGCAAAAGCTCACACTGCAACCTTACATAGGGTTGCATACCTCAGAACTCCACAGAGCACAGTATCGATGCACGTAAACGCCCACACCGTTGCGGTTGCCGTCGTCCAGAGGTCCGAGAAACACCCCCAGGCTGCCATTGTATGCCTTTCTGTCCTGCCCGCAGAAAGCACATAACGCCCACTGCGGCGGTGCATTCATGATAAATAATCCCACCGCATGGCTAGAAACGTAGGTCTGTGTTGCGACCAACCGACTGTAACGTTAATATTGAAGTCCCTCAACTTTGGTCATGCTTTCAATTAATACCACCTAGCATCATAATAGGGAAGTACACGTGAGCGCTTCGAAATAAGCTGGACAGTGCAAGTACTTGTTCCGAACCTGGTTAACTATGTTTCGGAGCGCTTTTTCCTTCTTGAATTGTCGAGAAGAAGGAAACAATCTAAACCCGTTAACTTGATTTGTAGATTGAGATGTAAATAGCTTGCACTCGCCAGGCGGGCCTGTCGGGCCGTGCGGCATTGAAGTTGCACGACTGCATGGCAATGTTCCACTTATCCTCCGATCCCATAATTGGCTGAGGCTCTCCATCCAAGCTGCTTGTTGGGACAGATATTGCATCGGGCCGGTCAATGACATGGCACCTATCATCGCTGGGTCACCAATACCGTCGCAGTCGTTGCTGCCGACGGGATTTGCTCCTGTCGTCCTGAATTCGAGGCCTAGCAGCCTCATATCCTCGCAGATAGTGGTAGCAGGAAGGCGCGCAGCTCCCGAATGCTTTAGCAGGTTTTAGATTTCTCTTGCTGTAGGCTTTAATGACGCTCGCTAGCAACCATGGTTTCGGAGGGGATGCGTGAACGCGGATTCCATTCCATTGGGCCGCCGCAACTGATTATTAAGACCCCCCCTCATTAAAGAGAACAACCCAGTCCATTAGACAAGACCCGGACTGGCGTGGGGGGCCAGAAGAACCCCTCGCCTCCCCTCTTCCCTCCCCTCCCCTCTCCGTAATGTCATGTATAAAACAGCCCAGCTATCCCCCGCCGCTTCACTTCCCTCCCCTTTACATCAGTTTACCCGCAGTGGTCGTCGCTACCACTCCGCACAGAATCATCAGGAAGGCCGAGTAGTACAGCACCAACATGGCCGCCTGGCTGATCAGCAATATGTGCCGCGGGAGCGGCACTGCGTAGCCAGCAGCACCCAGATGAAAGTACCGCCGAGCAGCGCGGCGCACAGTAAGGCCGCATCGGACCACACGCTGTTGGACAGCACGCCCATCACCTGCTCCACCACCACCCGGGGGTCAAACCAGAACCCAGATCGGATGAGTGCCGGGCCGGGCTAGGGGCAGGATGAGTCGGACCACGTCACTACGTCTGAGGGAATGCATCCAGTGTATTGTTGCAGGCAGTACCCCGACCCCGAGCCTCTCCACACGCCTACCTACCTACCTACCTACCTACCTATCTACTTACCTACCTACTACTACCTACCTACTTACCTATCTAGTCCCAGGTGGGCCCTGTGCCGTCCTGCGTATCCACCAACATACCACTTCCCCCAGTGGCTCCCCCTTCTCCTTGCTCCTATCGCTTACAGCCTTACAGCCCACCGAGTTGGCGGCTTGCATGGCAAGATAGAGGCTGCTGGCAATGGTGACCTAACGCCACATCACAAAGGGGATAAAGGGTTAACGAGGGGAAATGATATGATGACGGTGGTGGTGGTGGTGGTGGTGATTGTAATTAGGTGCGAAGGCGGTAAGAGGGAAAACCAACACCCTCTCCCCCTTTTGCAAGGGCGGTAACCACCAGGTTGGGTTATGCCTCTTTGCCAGCGAGTCAAGTTTGCTGAGAAACGGGGCAGGGGCAGGATGAGACGCGTGAGTGAATAACGAATTGCGCTACTCTAGCCCCTCTCATCCATCGTGCCGCCACGGTGCCATTTGCACTACAATCAGCTGGAATGGCATCCGGATCTGGCGCCTCGATGTACGAAGAACATCAGCGACACCAGACACGTGTAGCTCATCATCTTTATGCATCTTTGCCAGCACAGCAAGGGAACGGGGAAAGGATATCGAACATCTGGGCCTGACATGATGCCATGACATGATGACACGGTTGGGGAGAGAAGGCGAGGACGCTTCCCGACGATGTCGGGTTACACCACCGGAGGGGGCAGTTACATGTCCGTCGTACTTAAGGTCCGCATCCAGCAGCCAGCTAACGCGCTGTGGTGCTATGTGCCCCTTCAACCTGGAGGATCTGACTCTGACGTGGTCGCCGTACAACATCATACACGTGTCCACAGCTAACACTCCTCCCTAGACCAGCCATCGGCCCGACCAATAAAGGGCCGAGAGACCAATCAGGCTAAAATCAGGCAAAAAGAACAGCGCGCGTTATCCACACCGCACCCACGTACACCCACATTCAAACATTTGCAGAAAAGGACGTGCAGGCGCCAAAAAGGACACTCCCAGGCGCCACACAAAGTAAAACCTGTTGTACACGATTTAAAATCACTACACGCACACATCGAAACGCGGGGAGGGTTGACTGCCCCCCCTGGTAATTAAAACTCTGTCGTAGTGAGTGAGACCACAAAGACCACGAAGCACACCCAGTGACCATGGCAGCGCTGCTGCTGCCACCGATTCCACCATCCCAGGGCAGGACCCTAGCATCTGACCACCACAGCGGGTAAGTACGGAATGTACGGAAGCCCCACCCCAAGATTCAGTTCATTCAAAAACGCGCACCAGCATCGTCAGTCCAAGGATTCCTGCGTAAGTGGTCCCTCCCCGTGTGCGCGGCGGCTCTGGTGAAATGACGCATTGACTGATGTGGAGGCTGTCACGCACTCTGATTTGCGCCGCCGCCGCCGCCACAGCAGCAGCAGCAGTGAAAAGAGCAGGTATGTACAAGGCGTACGTAACAAGGCTTGCGCACCGGCGGAGATGCACAAACATGTACACGTTTGCAGGCATCATCACATAAACATAAGGTTTTGTTCGGGGCTGCAACGCTGCAACCGCCGCAACCACCGTGTCGTGTGTCGCATAGCGCAGAAGTTCTGAGCGCCATGCGCTCACCCTTTTAAGACAGTCATTATGAGAAGCCACCCCACTGTTTCACACCATGGAAGCACCCGCCTCAAACACTGGCTAGCACCCCAGCAACGTCCTCCTGCGGTGATTGCTCTTTCACATAATCACAGCGTATTCCAGTTACGACGCCATCCGTTTGTTTCGTCGCCATTTCAGCAAATTCAGCTGCCGCAACCGCCGCAACGACGCCTCTGCAGCTGGACCCCGCAATCCAACCCCATAACCAACCATCATCAATCACCACCATTACCATCGCCACCATTACCAGCGCGTAACCCAGCATGCGAGGCTTAATGTTCCTGTCACTTAGGTCGCGCTCCACTTCCCGTCGATTGGTTCTTTATACACGGGGGTCCTCCTGTCACTCGTTCTTCTTATAGCCGCCGCGGATTTGGGAACAACTAATCCACCGGACACCGGACACTTCGACACACTCCCTGCAGGAGCCGCTGCGCCGCCGCCGCCGCCGTCACCGCTATGAGCGACAGGGCACTTGCCGCCGCCGCCGCCGCCGCCACCGCCATGAGCGACAGGGCACTTGCCGCCGCCGCCGCCGCTGCCGACCGCACCTCCACCGCCGCCAGCGCCACAATTGGTGATTGGCCCGACAATCTAGATCTTCTCCCAAGGAATGGAATGGAATGCTTCCGGCGCTTGTGGCGGCGCGTGTGCTTAATGGCCTTGTTCTCAATGTATGCCATGTAGCTGGTGTGAGGCATGTCAGCGAGCTTGTGGCCACCAGTCCGCCAGCCCAAGCGAGGTTGCACATCTGGCCCGCTTGCGCTCGATGGCGGGCAGCATCTTGTACAGCCCTGAGCCCTGGTCAGATTTGCTTAACTTGACACAGGCCACGTCACGCAGCTGCGTCGCGAGTAGGTGCACAAGGGCAGGCGGCTGATGCGAGGGCATAGCGAAATGGAAAGGAATGGAAAAAGGCGGAACCAGCGGAAACAAATTCGCGAAAAGGAAGAAAAGCGAAACCTATCCGAAACACCTCAGTATTTTATTGTGTTTTTTTATTTCTGCCGTGTGCTGTATGCCATGGTTGCCCAGTAATTCATTACATGCTGCCAAACTTCTAAAATGCGACTTTCGCCTTCGATGATATGCAAGGATACATATCTGTGTACCATCACGTCCGAAGCTCCCCCGCTGGCATTAGCTAAAGTTTTCTCTCCGAAGTCTGGGAGGTTAGGCACCAAGCGCTCCTGCGCTTTCCGCTCAAACGGGCCGGTAGGAAGTCGACAGTCGCCCCACCGACACTGTAACATTAACTTTTATGAACAGTCCACGGGCCCCCGGCTTTGACGGATGACCCCTTCCGCACGGCTGTGCGGACACTTTGCGGAACTGTAAAATGACGCGGAACGACGCATACGAAGGTGGTGACTGCACTTTTACAGAAAGTCTGCACGAAAGTGCTCTGCAGGCAACACCGCACCGCATGCATGCTTTTTACTTGGTCCAGCAGCCAAACCAAAACTGCTGGTGTTTACCGGCGGAGTAAGAAACTCCGATCCTGCTGGTCAAGTGTATGGTGGTACGTACGCCGAACCCTCTGAACTGCGGACCAGCAAGTAAACGTAAACAGGTAAATCAAGCACACACCAGCACCAAAAGGGAAAGAAAAGGACAGCGAACCAGCCAGAAAAACTGAAGCACGGAGGAGCGCGGGCCTACACGCCTGGATTCGTTTAAGAAATGCTGGTGGAGATGACTCTGCATGACTGGCTGAGGTAATTAATGCCTCCGCGGCGCAGTCAGCCGATAGAATCATCTGATGGCTCCCCTGTTGTTGTAAGTTGAACATACACACCTAAATAGCAATTTAAAAAGTTCGGGAAAATGATTTTTTAACTTCTTCATCGTACTGCTGCTTCCTTGGGCTTAACAAAAAAACGGCAACAAAACAGTTGAGAGACACTACATGGCGGTGGAGGCACTACTAATTCAGGACACCAGCCCACAAATTTGGCGTCATCCCCTTTCTCTCTTTTCCATCAATCTTCGTCGTCGTAACACTTATCTAACAGGCAGCCTTAACATACAGACGTACACAACATGCGACAGCGCAAAAAAAAATCAACTCTTGAACAAAACGCAAAATAATCGACCCGACACTATCCCTGCTATGATAATACAACAGAACTGCTATACAGATATTATCGACACCGCAACACTCGTTATGCAGAAAATTTATTACGTTGGAGCCAAGTAACCAAGCAAAGGAAAAACCGAAAGTTCGGTAGTGGCGGCGCCCCATGCAAGGCCCTGCTGAAGCCCCCGTAGGCACGCGTCACCATATGCGGTATATGTACCGCCTAACGGGGCCGTTCATTACTAATGAACGATGCCGCACACATCGCTGCCGTTCTTTTAAAATGTGCGTCGTACAAAGACACGTCCCCTGGCCCTTCACATCCAAGACGCCTACCTTCTACGCGCTTCTACTGAAATGACCGTCTGCTCGCGCAGCTAGCTTGACATGCTACGGAGAGCAGCTGACGTGAAAGCGCCCAAATAAACCACAGCGGACTGACCACAGCGCTTGCGCGCACAGGCACAATCCCGGCTTATCTGCCGACCCATCCACCTGGTCGGTCAACATTACTACCTAGTCTGGCGGTACGGATAACAAAAGAAAATTAACCCAAAACAGAGAATTGGACAAATAAATGTTGTTGTTATGGCAGGTATGGCGGACGGTGCATTCTCCTCGCCATTTCGTTCGCGTTTTCTTAAATCCCCTCGTCATCATCATCATCATCATCATCATCATCATCATCATCATCATCATCATCATCATCATCATCAAGCCCGGTCACGATGACACGTTATGAATAACTACCACCTTCAAAATAACTGCCCGAGCTCTGGCAAAAGAGCACAACGACAAGGGGCAACAGAAAGCCCAATGTGCCGCGGCAACGCCTTTGTGCAAGTCGTCTTCCCGGTTCCAAGCCAGGCATCACCCTTACCTCGCTTTAATAACAACCCTAATTTCAACATCACCTCTCGAGAGAAGTCCAAAAAATTGACGGTTAGGTTCCCATGGTGTCGCATTACTGTTTCCTTCAGGAGCCATTTCCACACCCCTAACCGCCACTACTATCCGCACCATCATTTGTCTTTTTGATCCCTGCGGTGGTGCGACCACCGTGCCCGGTCCGAAACAAGACCCCCATTACCATCACGCTCCCGTAGATGCAGTCTATACATCTGTACGTCTGTACGGAAACTCCGAAACCGGTACGTCTCCGGTACGTCTGTACCGAAACTCCAAGAAGCCACCACATATTGCTCCTTGTCCAGCCTTAATATTGTGAGCTGAATAGAAAACCTCTACCTAGACCGTACAGACGTACGAGAGCGTCGGCAAAAAGGTCGCTACGTCATGTCTTCCCTTTGAAACTGCTATCCGGGGGTAAGAAAAGGATATTAAACTGTACGACTCCACAATTTCCCTGCCTTCCCTACGGATGCGCTGTGATATGACGTCGCTCATGCATTTAGTGCTGCGAGAGGTCGTGGACACCGGGGAAGCCCGTATTTCCATCGACTGAGCAGTAATAAGAAGGCGACCGCAGCAGTAGCAGCAGGGAATGTGGTGGCGAAAAAGTGTTAAGGCTGGCTGCAGGAAGGACCATCGCTTTCCGCTGTCGCGTCGCAGCGCCGCTGCATGCGTTCGTTCTATGCCTGTTGGTCTCGCCGTATGTGTCGGTGGGTCGTACGCGCGCAGTTCGCACGCGCGTCCCGTCGTTCGTTCGTTCGGCCATCGTACAATCGGACCTATGCCCTACGATGCACCTACTTGTGCATGCCACTAGCATAGAAGACATTATTCATATCAGTCATATCATCATTCATAACCTCAATTAATAATATCACATTCATGTGTAACACAAAACCGATCCTGGGCTCTCGGGAAAAGAAAAGAAAACCTATCCTCACCGCGCGCCCACATACAGTTTAATTAACCCTAACCTATTGCGCGCCAGGAGAAAGTAGGGTTTTAGGTTTGAGAGGAAGGAATATACACGACCCCTCCCAAAACATAAACTTACAACAAAAGCAACACATAAAAGTAAAACCAGATACTGCATACGTTCGCGGCGCGCGTTTACCATTCTCCTTGTCCCGAGGAGAAGCATATTTTGATTTTTACCTCGACAAACACCTTGTCGAAGTATCCTTTGAAGTATCCTTTGCATACAACTTTACTACCACATTCCCTCAATGCCCCTCGTTTACACAGCTCCCTCAGCTCCCTTTGCCCCGTCAGTTCCTGTTCTGCCGAGCGCCAACACGCTTCTGCATGCGTTGAAATCCGGACTATTTCGTGCCCTAAGCAAGATCCTGTCCCCTAAGCCTCCTAAGGTCTCCTCAGATTAGTTAAGCACAGCACAGCCCACCAGGACTCTTGCGCGTGGCCTCTAGCGCGTAGTGTCGTCCAACCCAACCATCATTCGGACTGCTACTGCTGCTGCTACCGCTTTGCCCTGCGCCCAATTCGTCGGCCTCCCTACCAAACCATTCCCAACTTGCGCTCTTAGGAGCAAAACGACAACAGTTCTCATCTAAGTGATTGAAAAATACACCCATAGCTCAGATCTCTTTCTCAAATTGCTTAATCTGCTTCTTTAACCTCCACGCCTGCCCAGCATGAAACTGCCATACTGCCATGCAGTTTCATGTACAGCGCCCAATGCTCAGATTCGAATAGCGCACGAGTCTATCACGCACCTGCATTTAGAAGCAAACGGCAATGGCATCTCGCACTATAGTAAGCCATCAGCACAGTGGCCGCCGCCGCCGCTGCTGCTACTGCCGCTCCTGCCAATGCAAAGACCCAACCTCTGCGCACGGCTCCGCGTCGCATGGAAGCAGCAACGGTGCTCTTGTCAACACCAGCCGCTACGGTAGCAGCCGCCAGCGCCGTAGCTGCAGCCGCCGCAGTGACAGTAGCAGTAGCCGCCACATCTCCGTCGTGAGGCCGCCACAGCGGTGGCTGCCTCACCCGGCGGAAGTCCTGCTGCGGTATAACTCCGTTGCCGTTATCCGCTGCCATAAGGTCGCCAACATTCTCATAGTCCTTAGGCCACCTGCTGCTGCTGCTGCTGCCGCTGCTGCCGCTGCTGCCGCCTCTGCGGCCAGCGCTACAGCCCCCGCGGTCGCCGGCGGCCGCATCACCATCCGCTGGCACGTCGTCATCCTCCATCATACTGTTTTCCAGGTCTGCAACATGTGATGCCGTACCGGGCCCGTATCCGCCGTACTTTGATTTTACATCGTGATCAGCAGCTGGGGATGGCTGTTGCTGCTGCAGCCGCTGCTGCACCCTTAGTAACGGCGAGCCCAGAAAGCTGCAGCGGCGGCGGCGGCGAGATGTGCCCCCGCCAGCCACGGCCATGGAGTCCCCCCGGATGTCCCCGATACCAGACACTACCGGAAGGCTGGCACGCCGCTCTCGCCGCCGCTGGGGCGTCGAGGGTTTCGCTGTGTTGCTGGCGGCGGCNG